GGATAAACAGATGTCATATAGGTCACTTAGTCATTAGTTATTCATTAGCTTATCACTCGCGAGTCCCACGCCAATCACTCTCGTGGCCCACGCGAGGAGATGTAGAAGGTCCTGTAATCAGTACTGTATATGCAGACTGTGACCATCATCGGAAGAGCAGCAGTCCTGTAATGATCCAAATGGGCAACACTTGGCTGACGGGGGTGGGGGGGTCATGACCCCACTACATAACTAAAAAGACAAATCAAATGAAGCTTAGTCACACACCGGGTTGGAAGCAATGTTTACAAGGGCGCCCTCGGTCATCAAAATCTGTTACAGAAAGGTAAATGTCATTTAGACTTTATAAATTGCACAGATGGAAATTTTGAAATACTAATGTAATCATTTAAAACGACAAAAAATTGGTTTACCAACATAGTACAGTATATTGTATAGCAAATTTGTATTTTGTTTTGTGTTAATGTACAATAATGTATTGTTTAATTGTAAAACTCAATGCTTAAGGAAATGAATAGTGTAATACATGGCTTTTCCCTTTAATGCCCTCTCCAATTAAATACCAATTTGTTGAGACCAGTATATAGCACACTGGAAATTGATCCTGTGTTAGATTAATGTGATTGGCTACTACAAACTCTAATTCATCATTACATTATTCTCAGCCTTTCCTATCTGTATTATTATTGACTGATGTTAAAAACTATACTTCCTAAAAGCTAATTTAATGTTCTTTATGCCATAGTCAGCCTCAAAAGGTTTAACAGTTGATTATTTCAAAAAGGCATGTGGCCGTGTTCACTTGTTCTTTTCAGTTACTGTAACAATAAAAAGCAAAATATGGCATCTAGTCTTCACAGTGTACTAATAAATTAATGAAAATTAAAATTTAATAGATTGATTGGTGATGGAATATCCAGACATTCAGCAATTTCAGCCTAGCACAGAATATAAACAACATGAGAGCAGCTTCAGCTAAACTTGTGGTAGCCACTGTGTGCAGGGGCGGATTTAGGGGGGGGGCCGGCCCGGCCCCGGCCCCCCCTTTCGGGAGGTAAAAAAAAGAAGAAAAAAAAGAAAAAAAGAGAAAAAGAAAAAAATGATAGCCCAGAATGCCTCAAATGTTATGTTCGGGCGTCTAGAACACAAAAAGTTCGCGGGGGCATGCCCCGGACCCCCTACGACAGTGTTGTCTCAATCGGCCCAACTTTCGGCCCCCCTTTCCGGCCCCCCCTTTTGGACATTTCTGGATCCGCCCCTGGTGTGTGCTGAACCGTGGAAATCTCATGGTCCCCGGTTCAATTCCCATCGCTGCTCTCTGTGTATTTTAGCTGGAGGGCTGAAATGCAACTTTTGGATATTGGCCCTGTGTGCATTATGGTCCATGTGTTCACTTTCAGAAAGTAGTAGGGGTTGTCTTCCAGTGTACTTCCCAATCACCATTAGAAGGACCCCACTGGAATAGGTCTTCAGACTTTGTGGGTTATCCTTGGTGTTTACCCCAAATAAATTCATCCATCCGTCCATGCCAGGTTTTGACCTTGCATTCCACTATGCATTTTGCATATTGCAACACTTTCAGTAAAACTGTTGTGTTTAGCAACATTATGCTGATTTGACCACGGACATTCATTAAAAAAAATCATTGACAAACTATTTTGATCAAAAGTTTAATGTTTGTTTAAAACATATAAGCATCAAGTAGAATACTCAACTATGTTTTACTATAATTATAAATTATATTGAACAAATTAAATAAAAATTTCTACATTACACAACTTTTTGAAGGATGATTGTATCATAATTATACCGTAAATTATATTACAATAAATATTACAGTTTAAAAGTATATACAAATTTGATGATTATTTTTCAGATCGTCATTTAGTTCCATCTCCTGCTTCATCAGTGTACTCCTTGAATGATGCCTGTTCATCGTACGAGCAAAGTTGTTTACACCAAGCTCCCCAACACAACATCAATAATCAACGAGTGACAACACCTCCATCCTATCAAGGCCAAGTCTGTCCACCATCACCTTTCAAATATGACAGTAAAGTAAATGTTTTTGGTCAATAATTTCTTCTTTTTTTTTTCTAATTTTTACGAAACTTTTTACATACTTTGTTAAAAGCGTGGCTCATCATTCCCTATCTAGAGAATTATAACATTTATTATGTTTAATTTAATATTTTCATATTTATAATAAAACCCAATTTAATATTAAGCTACAGTTCTTTAACAGAGCTCAGATATTTAAGTTTTTAAGTTTATTTATTTGATCTAAATACCGTCAAACCTCAATTTGAAGCCCTGGGCTTCTTTCGAGATGGGTTTCTTTTCGAGGCTACTTTTGAAAACTAAAGAGGGGGCTTCAATTTGAGATGGGCTTCTTCTCAAGATTAAGCCCATTGGGCTTCTACTCGAGGTTTTGTGGTATATCAATACTAATTGTTTTCAATTATTGTACCACAAGAC